ATCATTCATCACCCAACTATGTCATCAATGACATTCACAGCGAAAAGGGAATCGTTCACACAATTCGTCACATTAAAAACATCATGGCATATGCAATTCGTTGACCATTCTTTTGAACATAACATTTAATGTACATAAATAAAGCAAAGAGTTGCTTAAGTTTAGATCATATTTGCACGTATGCTTGTTAGTGTCTATGTATGTGTGTAGCGCGAAATTTAGAATGTTAAAAATATAATTAAAAGAGTGCTCGTGCATGTATACATGTCATTTTATCAACTTCATTATGTACCTAACAGAGCATAACAAAACATGCAATAACATAACACAGCATAGCAAAACATAGCATAGCATAATAAAATATAACTTAGCATAACATAACACAGCATAGCATAACGTAACATAACAAACAAGCGCGGCATGTGTAGTGTTCATGTTGATGTGTGCACTTCAATTGTGTAGCCTCTAAGTATGTATGAGTGTTTTTAATTTGTTTAGCATTTTGCGATGATTTCCATGTCTACCTCTTCCAGTAGCTAGTATGAATATTTATAATTTATGTTTGCATGTACACAAAGTTACTGAAATTCAATTTAATTTTTAAAGGATTGTATGCAAATGGTGAACAATTCGAAAGTCACCAGGTTTTTGAAAAATCAGACGTTATTAGAAAAGTGTTATATAAAACACTAATAGTAGTAATATAAATTGACACCAAATTTTACTAAAATATAACACGTGTTGACCAAAATATGCGGTGTAAAATTAGCGGGAAGGGCAGAAGACATATGGGGCGTAGAGGGTCTTTAACAAAAAACAAAAAAAACAAAACCAAATACACAAGTTTTCGCTCACCTACTTTTATTGATTTCATTCGGTGTAAGGGTGCTAGGAGAGGCTATAAACCGATTTCAAAAAATTTTGATACCAACTCACACTATTATGATAAACAAACCACTTTTCAAGCTAATTACTGCTTACTTTATGTTAACTTAAGCCAAGAATTTGACCCAGATCATACTATTTAGAGAGTTTCAGAGGGGCTTGGCAAAGTGTTGATGACATCTCAGTTGCCAAATATGTACTTTATTTCGATTGTTATTGATATTGTGAAGAAAATCTGAAAATCGTCGGAGATCGTAGAATGTATATAAATATATACGCGAACTTTTCCCTCAGTGTTTGAGATATCGATCTGAAATTTTGCACACATCCTTTTCTTCCCAAGGTGCTTATCATTTGTTGGAACAGCCGATATCGAATCATTATAACTGCCATACAAACTGAACCATCAAAGTCAAGTTGCTGTATGGAAAACTTTTTTATTTGAGAGGGCTATTATAGCTTCAGTGCAACCGAAGTTAACGTTTTTCCTTGTTGTAGTATTAATTGCCAACAATTTACATTTACCATAAAGTCGCTTATGTTTAACGAACTGAACAAAATGGTGTAGGGTGCGAGTTTTTAGTATTTAATACAATATGTTAATTGGAATTGATTAAAAAAATTAAATTAATTCAATATATTTAAAAAATTTTCACCATTTGCATATGTCTAAATTTTTATTTATTTAACAATATTTTTCTACGAAATTTTGTAGCTGTAGTATAGTGTTAGTTCAATGTATGCTCCTAAGGTAAACTCTGGGGTAGCAGACTAAATAGCTAAGTTTTTGTTTTAAAAAAAAAATTAAATAAACATTTTTTTTCTATTCATCATATGATTTAAAAATCCCAAATATATTATATGTTCATTTAATTAATATTTACTATTTAAACTTATTATGAATTAAGTGCTCGATTATTTATTTAATTTTTAATATATTTTTTTAAACTTTTTATTTAGCAATTTATACATGAAATATATACTTATGTAATTTTATAACGAAAACAGCAAAGCTGAGACTGAATAATATAAACGAAATATACACAAACACTTTTTTACAATTTATACAAATACACAAAACAACACACATACACAGGTGCAGAAACATTAATGCCGTGAAACAAACACAACACTAGAATATTGTAAAAAACTTATTATTACTAATATTTGAAGTGCAATGCGCTTGAAGAAATGTGATTTTCTTCCCATTGATGGTTGCTTTGGAAATCATATTTTTGCGCGCCACTGTATTTCTTAACACATCACACAGACTTTTGGAGCAGCATTCGACATACAACATGCATTTGTACATATATAATAGCATTTTATAATGACAAAAATACACAAAATAACAAATGTATGCAATTAATATTACACAATACAGCCACATGCCTAACTATGTACAAAATATAACTTAGACTCATTCAAATAAAATATATTTCCCCCTTGACGCCTCACACATATGCCTACAAATTAACTTGTTCATTTTTATTCTATATATCAATGTACATATATACATACATACATATATACAAAATAATGAATTATATACACGACACTTATATGAGTATTTAATGTATCACAGTATACACTTATATATTTATTTTTATTTTATTTACAACTCAACAATACACATATATACAATTTTATTAACATTAATGTATGTAAAAGTATATATACATATGTATGAAATATATTTATATACTTCTTTTCATTCTACATATTACGTGCTATGTTTACTCTTAAGCCATTGTCAATACCAAATTTTCTAATCGAATTCTCTTTTTTTATTCTGTTCGTACAAATATCGAACAAAATTGCATTTCATATGCAAAATCGTTTGTTCCATACGCACACATACAAACGCTGGCACACGCATACTGCCGACCTGTCCTAACTGCAATGCTACGTCATCCATTCCTCGGCCTGCCTGCACTTTGACACTCGGTTGCTTGCCGCTGCGGCCGGTTGCGGTCTTGGCAATTTTCTTGTTGTGTCATTGCGATTTATTATGACATGCTGTGCCTGTGTATGGATGTTGGGTGCTGTTGACACGCTCATTAATAATGCATAGACATATTGTCGTTTGCGGACATATAACGTACGAGTCAGTGTCGCATTTCTTAAAGGATTTCCTGCACGAGGATCGAGAAGATGTGGACGTGGAGGTGGTATTTTTACATCGGTAAGTCGCCTCTTTGAATTCTTTTTCGCCTCTGTCGTTGCACTTTTATGTATTTATGCATACGACTGTGTATTCATTGTATGTGTTTATGTAAGTACATATACTCGTACATGTGTCTAATGTATTGGAATTTACAAATAGTGAATGAAATAAGACCAATGAAAATTCATTCGAAAATTATATATAGTAAATATATGAAGATACATATTAACTACTTATACATATAGTAGGTTCTGTTATTTTGTTTTATTTATATAATTATATTGTATCTACCTACATTAGTTATCTAAAACATATATACATATATACATATATATTTCCATAATAAACTGTTGCAAACATCTTGAGCCTTATAGCCCAGACTGCACCGAAAGAAGTGATCTTATAGTTTTCTCTATACGAGTAAGTTTTCGATAGTAGTTAATTTACAAAGTCCCAGTTTGCTACAGAGATTTTGCTCGCTAGCTATTCTTGTTGTATCAACAGCTTATCGTTGTGGCTTCTCTTTATAAAATTAGAAGAGAGCAGAAGCTCTGCTATCCTCCTAACACTAATTTTAAGCCTCCAGTCTTGCCCTTTAAATTTTACATAAAGAACACACTGCACCGCAAACAATAGATGCTTAATTTTCATTGCGATCAAGATTGATCATTTACTTTGACCTATTTTTTAGATTGGAGTGTAATCTTCTGATATCATTACCAATTCTCAGACTTCTCAACTTGTTGCAACTACTTTCTGTTGGTAGCATTTAGTCTCAGAGAATCTTTCTGACCTGAAATTTATTTTCAAAAAATCCATGATAGATAGAGAGAGAGAGAGAGAGAGCCTTTCTGACCTGTAAAATATTTTCATAACATCTATGAGTTTTTAAAAAATGTTCTAAATATGTAGAGCGCTCTTTTTATTGATTAGCAACCCAGCACAGAAACCGACAAGGAGGCTAAAAAGCCAAGTACTTTTTCGGGGAAAAGGCTCGAAATCAGCAAAAATTCTATCACCAATACAAAAAATCGTTAAATTTAAGTTACCCATACTTAAAATCTTCAAACTCAAAATCCCCAAACTCAAAAAAGAGTGTTGATACCCCGGAGTTGATTGGCGAGGATTATTTTTTAAAGCGCGGCCGAAGGTGTCTTTTGAGGGCTTTGTTTTGGGACTTTTAAGCCTAACCCCGTTTTTGATTGTATAGATATAAACTTTTGAGAGTATAAATGACAATGAACCATGGATTGGCTAAGAAAAAGCTATATTTTATATAATTTTTCAACATTCACAGTCTCCTATTCTACTTGCAAACCTGCTCTCCTCTTTGAAGAGTATAATTATAGAGAAACAGCTTTTTCTTATGCTCTCATGATTACTATGAAGTATACATAAAATTCAAGCTTTTTTTGATAGGTTTGGGTTTTCTGTGCCAAAAATGTTTGCAATAGTTTTCTCTAATGTATTGTATTTGAATTATTCTAGAGTAAAATTTTTATTACGCAATATAAATATAGTTATACTATTAATTTTTAAAAATTGCAATAACAATTTATGATTATATTTTATAAGTATTTGTACTTTTCCCTAAAATTTTACCATACAACACTATTAAAACCAGCAAACAAATATTTAATAATTAACACACTGACCAATAGTAAAAAGTCTAACTAAAGTCTAACCCAATAATTAATAAATACTGTAAACATTCACAATCAACTCTGTGTATAGCAAGGAGCCTGATCTGGAGCTAGAAGGTCTGCTGAAGCGTCACTATACGACGGTGGCGTTTTTTCAGGGCACCATGATGAATGCCGTCGATTTGGAGCGAGTCAAGGTACACATATACACAACTACAATAACAAATATAAAGAGAAGAGAGCATACTAAAAACTGCAATTTGGAATTGTGAATTGAAATATCCCAAACACACATTTCTGTGCACCTGCTGCCGAGACCCGTTACTTCCACTTTATAAGAAAACCAAATTTAAAATGCCACGAGCAACACCTACAACAGGCAGTTATTGGTTAAATTCTTGCTTCCAATTGAATTCGACTATGTGCGTGTTTATGAGTGAATGGTTTCAATGTGTAGTTGTGTGAATGTTTACTAGTCTGTCTAGCGCCCTATAATGCATATTTTATGGTCATATAATAGTCAAGTGGAATACAGTAATCAAATGGTGGTGAATGATTGTGAGAGTTAAATACTCGTAGTGGTCAATTCTTAAATGAAGACAACTATAGTAAGTAGTTTGCGAAATTGTTCTCAAAAATTACACAGTGCATCATGAACGTCAAAACATGAAAGCTTAGAAATATTTCAAGTCACTCAGTTATCAGTCAGTATATTTACTGATTCTCAAACATATTTGGTATAAACAGATTTATTAGCAATGGTGCTGACCTTTCAAAAAATATTAATTACACCATACATTTAATTTTGATTAAGGATTTTTATAGTTGACACGTTTGTGAAAATATATAATTGACGCATTATTAATTGTGCTTTCCCATATTCTTATTCTTGTAGGGAGTTTAATGATCTACAAAATAGGTTTAATATGATTTTTTGCAAAATGAATTGAAATCGATGTCAAAGTCAAATAAAAATGTATACCCAATTCACCAAGAACAATTTTATAGCTGTAAAAAATCTGTCAATTTCAATTGTGGTGACATTTTACATCAGCTTAATAGACAAGTACAAATTTGACTTTTTCATATTCTTCAGATTGTCATAAATCCTTATCCAAATTAATGGAAAACATTTTCGGCATCTGATTTAGCTACGACTGTCATTAAATTGAACATAGTAAATGCCACACATAATCATTTGCACCAACAAGAAAAATTCTTTGTTGAGTAGAGGTATTTGAGGTGTTACCGCCCTATAGTACAAATGTTGACCACTGTATACTTTGACTCCATAGGCCATTTATTAAAAATTTGGTGTGTCCTTTCGTCGCCTTCACCCAAGCGCCTAACTATCACTTAGCATTAGTAATTACCACTTTACAACAATTAACACCAGCACCATCACAATACTACGACAATAGTGAGCTGTCAATACCTTTGCCAATGTCACATCATCGTCAGTCGCTATCATTACCACCACCAACAAATAATAAGCACCACTAGTGGTGTGAATTAATGTAATATTGCATATGTATATTTATAGTTATTATTTGAAATTTGATATATATTTTAATACCTAAAATTTCTCTAATAACTAAATAGTTATACACATATATGCAATACTATGTTTCTATTATTCGTCCCTTTCAATTAATCTTTTCTAACTCTCAACTTTGCCACGATCCACGATTTTTTCTAAAGGCGTGATTACGTTTTCTCTGCTCTGGTCTGTTCTTCTAGTGTATACCACCCACCACCATCGACATTCCACTCATCTGATTTCTTATTTAATATTTTTTGTTGTTGTTTTGTTGATTATCTTATTTTTCATTCATCCAAGGTTTAGCCAACGTCTGTGTTCCACTATATGTTTTTACCTTTTTTGCTCCCTTTCGGTGTTTTGTTCTTTCGTGTATTTTTGTTTGTTAGTTTGCTTTGAATCAGTGGCCAGATTTTGATTGATTATCAACGGATGACGTTCATTTTTCTTTTGTAATTGCAATTTTGCTTTGAAATTGCTCGTAGCTGAGCCTTGCATTTCATGTTCAGCCTATTTTTTTTCTTTATAAATATATATGAAATTCTATTGTTTTGTTTTTCACTCCTATTTTGTACTTTTATTACCCTTAATTATGTACTTTTGTACTTTGAAAGGCTGCATCACACACTAGAATTTTTTTCCTCATCACTGCTTCAATTTGGAATGACGTTTTTTCCTTAATCAATATTGTCTTGTTTGAGAGTTTGAAGTAGTAAGTCTTTGCCAACGATTTCTTATTCCGTTACTAGAGCGTTTAGTAATTATACATACATACGGCTATATGTAGTACTACTTATAGTAGCATTTAAGATGAATTTTTTCAAATGTTAAAATTTTTAATACCAAAAGAAAAGCTTCTATAGATGCCCATTTTGCAACAGCTCATACTAATAACTAATATTTTTATGTTTCTTTAGCAAATTATTTTTCCTATATTTCATAAAAATATATAAAAATTTAATTGTATTTTATTTATGCTGAAATTATTAAACCGTGATTTAAGTAAGTTCCAGCGAATGTGTTTATCTATAGTTTTAGTATTTTTAGATAACGATTTAATCTTATTTTATAATATACCGTTCGAAATTTAAAAACTTGAAGTATTATTTTTAGTAATTGTTTATTATATTATATAATAGTTAAATGTTTATGATTATTATATTAAAAGAAGTTTACATATTACATATTTGTACAATATAAATAAACAATATTTGCATTAATAAGTATTTACTACCTTGAAAAGCAAAGCGATTCAATGATTTAACAACAACAATAATAATATAGTATTTTATTATATTATGCCTTATGTCGCACTTTTTAATAAAATTTTGTTAGTAAATTTGTTTTGCCGAAATCTAGAAAGGAAAATTTTTGTTGGTCAAGGGGAAACGTCAGAAAGAAAGAAAGAAAATTTTAAAGATAAAAAAATATTTGCCTAGAGTATATGACCTAAACCACTCGATGGGAGATAGTAATGATCTCATATTATTGTTGAAGTATATCACGTTATCTGTGACAAGGAAGTTTCGATTATAACCCCTCAAAAAACCTCTTAACAATAGTTTAACTCTGAGCTCCAGACAGTAATGACGGTTTTGAATTTGTGATTTGTGTCAAAGGTTTCTAGACATAACTTTTGCGACTTCTACCCAACATTCTTTTCATGCCTTTTGCTTGAGTGTCTTTGTCTGTATAGAAACCAAGCTTGCTGAACTCGGAGTAAAATATAGCAATTTATAGTTTTAGCGAGTATTCTTTTGTCATTCACTTTAAATTCAAAATCTATCGAAAAGAAACACTAAAATCCCTTGCTATTATTTACGGCTAGTTTCGAGCATTATTTTTATTGAGTTTTCTGATAATAGCGCCATTAACAAAGGCGGATAATTGACTTACCTCAGAAATTTTAAACAAATATTGACAAGCTGACATAAATATGAAATGAAATTGTATCAACTTGGGGACAATATTTTTACTGCTTTCACTTCTTTAAAAATTAAGGAAAGTCCAGTTCAATCACAATTTTTTTCCAAAATGTATTGGGCCTTCCAAAATATTGTACTTATTTTTATCGTGATTTGGGTCTAATCGCAAAACTATCAAGGTATTAAAAATATATTTGTGCTTCCAATATTATATACATATCTTAAATTATATATTATACACTCAATTTATAATAACGAAAACTCGAGTCGAAAAGTTATAACTACAACAATTCGTAAGAGTAAGAGTATTAAAACTCGAGAGCTGTTCACATTCCACTTTTTATCCCACCGATTTTACTATTTTGTTAAAAAATACGCCATTCAATACGGAATTAATGTTTTGCATATTTTATTTTTCTTCCATTCCATATTTTAATTGAAATATAATAATTCAAAACTGACAACCATGTCTACAACAATATCAATAAACCGAAAAAACAACAACACCTGCTATAAAAAAAATTAAAATAAATAAACTTCACCACATAAAACAACAAATCTCAATCTAAAACATCGTTTCCACTTCAATGATTTTGTCCTTGTTTGAAAACCAAAACGTAAAACTATATGTTTTTTTTATTTTATATAATGCTTAATATTGTAACGCAAATTTAAAAAATTTAAAACTAAATTAAACAACAAATTCAAAAGAAAACCACCTGACTTGGAACTAGAGGGTTTATTCAAACGTCATTTTACCACAGTGGAATTCTTTCAAGGGACCATTATGAATCCAATTGATCTGCAACGGGTTAAGGTAAACATTCGATTGCTCATCTAACTGTTCATCTGTTATTGTGTCATCGTTGAGTTGGTTCAAATTACCTCTCCATTTGTTTAATCACTAATTTTTGTTAAACTAATTTATAACATTTCTTTTTTCTCAACCAACTCACTCGTTTATTTTCAACTGTTATTTGCTTAATGATTTTTTTCGTATTTCATTAACAAATAAATATGAAAATGCTCACGATTTGTGTTGTGTATAATTGGTTAATTGAACTAACTGTCCATAACTGTTCACACAACTGTCATACACGTTCACACAGACTCACACGTACTCCTAATGTCATGAATTACAATAAACCGTAACATACTCACATATGTATAAGTGTCTAAACAACTTAATATTGGTGTGAATTTGACAATCATCGTGAAATAATCAAATGCTAGAACGTACAAAATCTATTCTTATAAGTTAAGTGTAATCGTCGATTATTTTTTTAGTTTTTAATTTTTTCACTCTATTGTTTCGGTTGATGTATTGTATTTATTTGTTTGTGTAATAGCTACATCAATATGATACGAAATGTCATTCAATATCATCATATGTTTTTTAGGCAAGATACTTTGATGTATTTTGATGGATATTATTCTTTGAAATACAAAAGTATATTTTCCAGACTTCCGTGGTAATTTCTAAAGAGCCTTATTGTGTATACACTGTTAAATATTCATCATTTCGATAATAAAGAAACACCTTTGCTCTTCGAGCATATCACAAAAATTTCCGATTTTGAGTTAAATTAACTTAACTGACTTATAATACCAAATTATGATTGATGATCATTATTACTTATAGTCACTTAATCTGATAATCGTCATCATGAAATAAATAAGGATCCTTAGATTTTTTAGATAGTTTAATAAACGTAGCATATTAATGAAATAAATTGTGAAATGTTTTCGTCTATAAAGGTATTCTGCCCTTTTTCGCAACGTGTAATCTGGAACGTATCTTTACTGGTACAACCCACACAATAAAAATTTGTAATAAAAAATATGATGAAAAAGATTTCCATAAAATATTCGTATATTTATTGTTTTTAATTATCTATGTGAATAATATTTTCAAAGACAATAATTTATAGATAATATTATAAACTATTTTTTATCAATGTACGCATACATTCATAACCCTAAAAGTATATAAGTTTATTTATAACCGTTATTTACTCTTACATGTCAAATAAGTAAAACCAATTGAAATTCATCAGATAAGCTATAACGAGTCTTCAATTAAAGCGGAAAAAAATAACAAAAATCAACTATTGAATATTCTTAACGTTTATGGTATACCTGGTACTTGAAACAACTAATCAAAAAATAATTAATTTAAAAACAAAATTCATACAAAGAGACAGCAACAGAGTGCCCATATTATTTTGTTTGATTTGTTTCATCTGTTTTGGAAATGCTATGAATGAATGCGCTTTTGAAATATATTTCGGAATCCATTCGAAAACATAATAAAGCCCGCATATATGTTTGTCTAATACATATATGTAGGTATATATGCCCTTTCATTGAATTTGACATAATTTTGCATTTCAATGAACAAACAAATTTCAACAACCAATTCCTCCAACATTTTTTTTTTGCAATGTAGAAAAAGTTTCCAAAAATTTACACCCAAAGATGATTTGAATTGACTTAGGGCTAGCCTCGACCAAAGTTTTTGAAACCATAAGGTTTGTACATTTAACATCCATTTGCAATCGATCTAAAATAAGAACTAAAAATGTGAGTGAACAACAAGCAGGAAAATGTAATTAATAGTCATAAGTTGTCGGCATCAGCTTTGGAGTAGAGTCTTATATATCCAAGAACTCAAGCCCTTAAATATTTATGTACAAATACAATGAATTGTCACAATTAATATATTAGCTGATCGTATAAGCGGTGTAAAGTATGAAAAGTTTTATAATATTAAAAGACTTAAGTAAGAAACCTAATTTACATTAACCAAAGTTATGCACACTCATTATAAAACAGAATTATGTCTATTAATAATTATTTTGTATATATATGTATGTATTTGTAAATACAATTTATGTGGCTAATATGTTGTTTAATGTATGAATAAATAAATGTATATTTTTATAGTTTATTGTTCAATTTTTGAGTAGATGTATTATAGTTGCATACAAAAAAGTTCACTTTGATGCTTTTTGTCGAAATAATAATGCTTTTATAAGTAGATTTGATATATTTTAAAACTTATATATATGTAATTATATAAGCTATTAAAAATATTTATGAGTTCTAAAGAAATTATCATTCAATATGAAATTCAAGTGCTCCATGGCGTATTAGGAACTGAAAGTTCAAGTAAATAAAGCAGATATAGTTTTCCGTTTATTTTAAGCTGCTGACTGTTATTTTTACAATTTTATAGCGTGTAAATAACATGTAATATTGTATTTAAATTATTTTGTTGAGTGGAAATCATTAGCATTTCACATTGAGTAGTCAAAAATTCATCATGAAGGTATATTAGTTTATAACATAAATACATTTTTTAATTATCTATCAAATGAACTAATAAATAATACCCCAGATGTAAATAAAACTAGCTCTCAAGAATACAAATAATTTTAATATATCAGACAGTTTTTTGATTTAAAAAATATTTTTTTTTTAAACTGTCAGTATAAAATATTAGTAAAATGTGTTTTTGCCAAAAAAGTGTGTATCCTGCTTACAAAATAATAAATTGTAATATACTTGTATAAAATTAATTTTCAACAGTTAAAATAATTATTGCTAATAAAATCACAATTAATTTGGATATTCGGTGTTTTATATTAATATGTATACAAACATTCTCGTATATATAAGTACAAAAGTATACTTATTTCGCTATTCTTGTTGATCATTGCGATTCTGTATGTAGCATGCATTACTGTAAATTTTGATGGAAGCATGTTAAATAGATACCAAAGGAAAAAAAAATAAAAAATATTTTATTGCATGAAAGTTACACTAAATACTATTTAAGCACGCCTGTTCAATGCAATATTTGAGTTTTTAATTTCATTTTTTTTTTGTCTTTTAGAATTACTAAATATTTTATTTGAGGTTAATTTTTGAATTAGCTAAAATAATTTTTGCATTATATGTTATTAAACAAAAACCATAACTTCGCTACTTCATTGCATATCAAAAGTATTCCTCATCCCGCGCTCCTTTCGGCAACTTTCCAAGAAACCATTTATGAATATGTTTGAACATTATGCTCCAAGAAACTGTTTAAAATACCAAAACTTTGCGCATAAAATCCGCTTTCTGTGTTCACCTCATTTGCCACACGTTTCACCAGAACTCATTATCACTACCGCCACCACCCCACTTATATACATATATTTTATTACAAAAAAAAATATTTATACACATAATTTGTACTAACTGCTCTTTATATCTCCTCGTGCCGCTTCGTTGGCTCATTGTGTGATTTGATTGGTTGTGGCGCAGGTACACGAAGCTGATGCCTGCTTGGTACTGGCCAATAAATATTGCCAAGATCCCGATGCTGAAGATGCTGCCAATATTATGCGAGTCATCTCGATCAAAAACTACAGCGAAGACATACGAGTGATTATACAACTTATGCAATATCATAATAAGGTAAGACAAAGCGAATTAAATTTATATTTTTTGATGTTGGAACATCTGACAAACTACAAGTATAAAAGAATATTTTTGATATTCAAATTATTATAAAATTATAGATAAATGGAAAAAAATGTAGCATTACTTTAGCAAACTCGGGCCTATGAGCTAGATTTCGAGGGCATTGCCGTACATGCCTCATGACAAAAAAATTAAAGAGATAGAGAAATAAGACCACAATGCCATTTCACAACATTTGAACATCTCTGTTTCAGGCTTATTTACTCAACATCCCCTCGTGGGATTGGAAACAGGGTGATGATGTCATTTGTCTGGCCGAACTTAAACTTGGCTTCATTGCGCAGAGTTGTCTGGCGCCGGGCTTCTCAACAATGATGGCGAATTTATTTGCGATGCGATCGTTTAAGACTGTAAGTATTGAGTAAGAAAATGAAAATAGCAAAATTTCTTAAATATTTACTAAAATTAAATTAATTGTTTAATATAAAAATAAAGAGAAGAAACAACGGCAAGACAATGGCGTCAGAGATGTATTGAATTCTGCGTGACTATAAAATTTTTTACCATTCAGTAATGGAATTATAGAATTAGGCATAAAAATCTGACAATAGCTCCAATAAAACTAGCTTATACAAATTGGCTAAACACTGTTCCATTTATTGCTCAGTTTGGATGTACTATAAAAACGTAAACTTATGCCCAGCAGCACTAAGAAGCTACACATATTTCTTTAAGAAAAATCTTCTTATATACCTATGTTACGACAATAATCAAAACAATATTTTTAATTCATACCTCACAATATATACAACAACAACCACAATATGTATGTACCTGCAGTCACCAGACATGCAGTCCTGGACCAATGACTATCTGCGCGGCACTGGCATGGAAATGTACACTGAAACATTGAGTCCCACATTTATTGGAATACCATTTGCTCAGGCCACTGAGTAAGTTTTTGAACGCGAGCATTGGCGTGTATATCGAATAACTTACCTTCAAACAATATAACATATTCGTATGCGTACCTCTATCGTATGATATACAGTATCTACTACAAATATTCGTAAATGTATATTTGAGCTTTGTTACTCATTAATTATTTGTTGTTTTCTTTTATTGGTTGACATATTTACATAAGCATTTCTGACTGGCTCTCTTAGTTATCTTTTTGTTTTTATATAGTATTCCCACATCAATCGATCTTATTCATATTACGTAATACACAAAACTACAAATGAATATTGATTTGAAAAATGAAAACGACAGCACAACTCATTCACTCACCCATTCAAATTCGCATACACAAACACAAACACACACACACGCATACACGTACATTAACAGAACTATAGTACATGTATACTACAACAATAAATATCCAGTTTGTCGAATTTTCGTTCTAAATGTTTTTTCAAACGTCATTCTTATTGTTGTTTGACGGCATTTTTATGTATTTTTCTTCCATGTGTCAATTAATTAGTTGTGAGTAATTAATACAAGTAAACTGAACGAAATTTCACAGGCAAAACGTAAACACACTGCCTCTTACGAATTTTACTTTCTAACTATTCTCTTTTCTTGGCGAATCTTCACACTTCTCTCAATAAAGTATACTGGTATTTGCGTTTAGTTTTCGTTTTCATATTTTCGTGGTGTTTTCCAATGAATTTTTAATTTCTTTTACAAATGCCTTGGATGTTGTGCAGTTTCCTTTTCATGTTTTCTATTAATAAAAATTTAAAACCTATTAAATAAGAAATTATAAAATTAAATTATTAAAATTATTATATACTTTTTTTTTGTTCATTCGAATTCGTCTTGTATTAATTGGAAGTATATATATAAATTTAAGAGGACGTTACCAAAAGTGCACCAACACTTCTCATAGCTAAAACTTTTTGAAACATTCTGGAAAAAAAATGGAAATTCACTTATTTTGATTGCATACGATCTAAAAATGTTCAGGTTGGAAATATAAGAAGAGTTAGGGAAAATATATTTTGTGTATATGATACATAAACCCCAAAACCTATCAACAATTTAGCCAGAGCTTGCAACTCAGGAACCCCTATTTTTCAGCTGTGGTTCTGCCAAGGTAAAGATGTACCCATTAACAAAAAAATCGTTTGGAATAATTTCCTCGGTTAATTTCTGATTGATTATTAGTAAAAGCTCGTACAAGGTCCAATTATTATCAGATTGAAGATAAGGGGAATCGAATTCGATACACACCAGAATACAATATTACTAACTCACCTGTTTACAGTAAACATAATGATATTGAAACCACATCAAACACAATTGCTCTTCCAACACTTTCGAACAGAATCTTCAGGAAAGCGGAAAATAGCTGCTCCCCGCATGCAAAAATCAATTAAAAAAATCAAAGCAGCAAACAGTGTTAATCTTAATTTTTCATGTTATTTAATATTTATGAACAAAAAACCAAAGTGGACCAAACTTGTTCACAGATAAGAGCTCTCTATTCAATTAAAATTTGAGAAATATTAAAGGAATATTATTTATTCCGAAAAACAAACAAATATTGAAATGGATAAAGCACAGTTGTTCACAACTATCATTCACCGAAAGAAAACAACACAAAACACCTACGTACGTATTAGTTACAAAAAGAGCACATACAACGTTGTTCGTATAGAAAAAGACACAGAATATTAAAAATTTGGCAACCAGTAAGGGCACCACTGTTAATTCGGATGACTTAAAGTGAACAGATTCATTATTTTTACGGTTTTTTTAGATTGCCACGTTTATTTTAAAATTGTGCATACTTTTTCGCTGATTATGGCATCATCTTTTCACGTATTTGATGTTTTTTAACATGAATATATTTGGTAATTACTTTACTTCAGTGGGTACTTAGACGATCATTCTTTCAATAGGTACAAATCACGAGTAATTTGTATAATTATATATGTAGCAAAGATTAATCTAATAATGAAAGGTACTTATCATATTAATATTGTAATAATGAATTAAAAAAATTAAAACAGGTGGCAGCAATTGTTTGTGAATTTAATTTTAAAAAGCATATTATTTCATATGTAAATAAAAATAATTTGTTACAGAACTTAATGTACTTTAATAATGGGCGATTAATTTGGGAAATTTTTTAATTCACTTGATCCCGTAGCCGTCTTCCAGAAAAACCTCCGAAAACATGTATCTGACGCTGAAAATATAAATTAAAAAATTATTACCAAAAATCTTATTCTTTGGATCGTTACAGGACAAATATATTCGAGAAGGTTGTGAGAAAAATTCAAGTAGTCTTAAGGGGTTATAAGCACCTTTAGTTTGATATCTATATTGTATTAATTAATTTTTTTTTCTAAGTTAAGAATTTTCAATTGGTAGCAACGCTGCTTAAGAAAATATCAATTATTGTCAACAGTTTTCATCACAATCGATTTTGCTCGTTTCTTTGTTCTATAAGATCATATTATATATGGTATATCCCAACAGGTGGCATACTTTTATTATTATAAGTTTTTTTGGTATTAAACGGTTCAAGTATTACATTGAGCAACAAAAAATTTCGTGTCGGAAGTTTGTCTACAAAAGTAAAAGTTACCCAGGTGATGCTATTACTTCGGCGCCTAGTGTAACACACAAAGTAATCATGTGCAATGAACATTTATGCAATATTTTCTTTAACATTTATACATACTCAATATACGAGCATACTTATACATAATTACGTTCCATTTTCTGTTGTTTTCATTGCAAATATGCCAAACTTTTACAATAATTGCGCTTTTAAGTTAGTTTGAGTTAGCTTTCGGTTGTTTATTTGTTTTCTTTTTATTTTATACTGCATAAAGAAGGAATATTTCTGTTTGTACATAAATCAAAGTGCGCCATGTATGCCTACCTTTATAAATAATAAATAGTCCGCTCGCGTGCAAGTTCTTCAGTCAATGCTGCTTAGTAGGAGAGAGCGAAGAGAGACATCTGAATGTGAATATGAAATCTGACATTCTGCTTATATTTACCTCTAATACTACAATTACCAAGGTGGCCCGTTGAACTTTGCCCCGAAATTAGAAGCATGGCGATAGACCCGTGTTGTTAAAGCTGCACTTTTCCGGCTCCAACGACATCGAGTAGTAGACTAAACGAGTAAATTTGATTAATTAGAAAAATCAAGCCTTGCATCCTTTCTTGTAATAAAGAGACTACTCAATCAACTCCCTTTAAGGACCAAGCATATAACGTACAATTCCTAGCCTATGCTGTAAAGTACACAAGAACAATGCGTAGTGTCTGCTGCATTCCTCGTTGCACCGCAGCAATTCACAACTGCATCTATCTATCTAGTCGCCCAGCCCCTCCATAGCGTATTTGGTAGTTTCGATTGTATATAAAAATTTGCTATAATGATATTTCTTGTTGGTTTTTGGTTACTAAAATCCGTACCACATTCGAATCATTTTTAACTTTCAGTCACCAGATACACAGGCCTGGCAAAACGATTATCTTCAAGGTACCGGGTGTGAGATGTACACCGAAACCCTCTCACCTTCATTTACCGGCATGACATTCCCACAAGCCAGCGAGTAAGACCCGAAACAAGCGAATTATCTACTCTTGTTCTATAATTTTTTTTTCTTACTTTACATTGAATAAACTAAACAGAAATTTCGTACTTATAAATAATAATATTTTTTTAAAAAGTACCTGCATTTTACTTAGCATTTAGTAAAAAAACAAAAAACTAAACTAAAAACAATTAATCATTATTACTAACAACACAAATGAGACGCACGAGTGCAGGGAAAGAAATGAGGTGTATTAGAGTGAAGTAGTGCTCTAATGAATCACTAATAAGGCAATTTTTTTAATACTTTTCCAAGTTTTATTATTAATTAATATTTTTCTAAGCAAGTTTTGGTTTTAGTTCATTTTTGTATAATTTTCTTAATATTTGTATTAAAAATTATTTATAATATATAAAAAAAGGTGGAGTAAATAAAACTATATAACTGTATATAAGCACTTGTCAATTTTTATCAGTAATGCCAGTAAAAATTATGTTTCTTTAATTTGTTAAATTTTTTTTTTCATATAGAATTTTTTTATGCTAATTTTTAGTATTCAGCATTATTTGCTTTAGTATAAATTTTTTTCAGTATATCTGACTTACTTATATAACAAAACGATTTTAATTCTAAATTATTACTCATTTATTATTTAATTTATCATTATTTTATTTTTAATGTCTCCATTATTAGTATACAGTTTTTCTTGAGGTAAAATTTATTTAATTTTGAGTGAGTCAATAAAAAATAAATAAAAATGCAGGCAAAAAAATTATTTAATTTAATAAACACAATATTTGTTAGATTATAATTTATTGAATAGGGTTTAAAAATATTTTATAAGTAAATATTTAATTTTTATATTTTTAATAAACTTTCTTAACTTAGTTTCAATATTTTTTGCATTTTGGTTCTCAGTATTTTCATAATTTTTATAAATTTTTCTGATTTTTTTTATAAAAATGATAAATTTAAAAAAATGTTTTAAACTTAATATTCATATTTTCCTCTACTACACTTCTTCCCCGCTGGTGAGTCTAAGCATAACTTCCAAAATTTTTTGAATTTACTTGGAATGTTTACGGTCTTGCATACTGTTTTTTTGTCCTGTACTGAAATTAATATAATAGTTTAACAAAAACCAAAACTTAACTCCAAATAAAACCTTTAAAATCTGTACGCACATAGTTTCAACCACATGCCTGTCTACCCGCCTGCCTCCTGCATTATCTGGGGATTTTCGAGATTTAGAGTTAATTCAACTGAAAGCGACTCTTTTGGACGTAAACTGTTGTTCTCCACTCGTCCAATTTGTTAACAGAGCTCAAGTGCTTAATCTTTGATATCTAAATCTCGAAAATATGTTACTCACTTAATATAGCTGTCTACAAATTACATAAAAAACAAAATATATATATATATATATATATTATATTAATTAATATAAAAAACAACATTTTGAAACTACATTAATGGAAATAATACATTAACTTCTGTAACTTACAACCCTATGCAGCTATTTAGACACATACCACTAATGCAAGCTGTACAGTCACAAACCCAAATAATATAATATAATATAAGAATACCTTCTATATATAATATTTGGACAATTTTTTAAAACACCTCAAATGCTTACACCCCACTCCCCAAAAGTGTATAACCTTAGTTAGTAATTAATTTAACTAATCAGCAATCAACGTCACTACCCCAAAGTATGTCCTATTATCCACTATATACCAACATGTAATTGCTGCATGCTTTGGACACGATTTTTTATGCTGATATATATGCTCATACCCCTTTTCCTTAAAATAAGACTCATGCCGTAATTTAACATTTTACAAACAGTTGCAGTTATACGCCACAATAACATTGACTTCACATATACTTAACATAATGAAATCCGCTGTTAATACTAACATACATACCCGGTCCATAGATTGCTTACGAAATACCAGAAACCTTTCACAACACATACGCATACTAGATACCTCGTTGGCATGCGTCCTGTTAGCAACACTGCTGTCCTCGTGTCGCTTGTGAAAGAAGTGAATGTGAATGTGTTTTGTCTACAGCTTCGGTAGTTGGCTGCTTGTTTTGCTTAGCGCAGAATTAATAGTTTAATTTATTAAAAATAATATTTTTTATATTTTTAAGCGCATAGTAAGTACTTTATTTAGTGTTATTTTATAATTAAACCCTTACATGTAATACAAAAAAATTTATCGCATGCGATTTTTTGTCTTTGCATGCAAAATATTGTGTACACTATTTTGTTACTTTTTTCCAACACAAACTTTTTAATAAACTTCTATCACATTCGGTGTCTGCATGAATTTTCGTTATATTTGTGTGTCCTTATGAGTCATGACAAATTTTGTAAATACTGGATATTACAATTTTTTTCCAATTAATTTTACAACTTATCACTTATATTTTTTCGAAATTACTTCTAATACATAGTGTTTTATTCAACATTTGAAGTTTTATGATTATTTTTATTAGTAAATACTGATATTTTCGTATTTGTCAACTTCTGTTCGCAGACTGTGCTTCTCGAAACTGAAATTATTGCTGGTAGCTATCGAAATTAAAGGTGCCGAAGAGGGCGCGGATAGCAAAATATCCATAAATCCGCGTAATGCCAAAATTCAGGCGAATACACAAGGCTTCTTTATAGCGCAAAGTGCCGATGAAGTGAAACGGTGAGCAAATGTTATATATTTCAAATCAAACTGAATCATGCAAATCAATTATATAAAAAAGAAAATTCTTGAAAAACAGTTATTTAAAATGTGCGATGTAACAACTTATACAATGTTGAATATTATTTTTTATTATTAATTGGAGTATCGTAACATAGTTTGAAAACAGTAAACAAAGTTATCAATTGTACAACAAAATAAAATTTCTAATATTTTCAATACTTACAATTTTGTTATTATACAATGTCTTTTTACCGTTTTTTCAATCACGCTAAATGAAAAAAAAAGAAAAATTCTTAAAACTATCTTTTACGATTTAAGGCTGTACTTCGCCAAAAATCGTTTAAGACCTTTTCTCTAGATCGTTACATTCCCCACAAAAAAGTTTTAATTTTCACTAGACAATAACTTGTTCGAATGCATTAAACAACCAAACAAAATAAGAACATTTTCCTGTCTTAAGCTCAAACTAAGAAAAAACTACAAGTTTTTTTGGCTCACTCTAATTTACATATATTAATAACATTATCACCAATTTCTACAACAGATTATTTAACATCTTTCAAATTATTTGAAATTTTAGCGCCTGGTTCTACTGCAAAGCCTGCCATGAGGACATCAAAGACGAAACATTGATCAAGAAGTGTAAATGTAAAAACTGTAAGTAAACTTTCCATAACTATACGCGTATAATGATTAAATGATTTATATAAAATATTTATTTAGTTTTATTTTTATATGGAATTAATAATTAATTTCGAATGATTTTGATTCTATAGTAAGAATTTTTGAATTTGGTTTTTCAATTTGATTTCAACTATTATCTCTAAACTATATGAAGCAAAATATTAAAACCAATATTCTGTTGGTAAACAACATAAAAAATGTAATTCTGCGTATAATCGTGCTGTAAGTTGTGAAGCAGTACTAAAAAAATATATAATATAGGAACGATCTTTTAAATTGAAGCTTATACTCAATACGTTACAAATATCTAAATCTACATAATTTATGGTATCGAAAAATTTGAGGTATTAAAAATATTAATACTTTTACTATAAAGCTATCTCTATTTAAGTAGTAGTATTTTATATAATATATACACATATACAATATATTTTACACGCTTAAGTACAGTTTTTAATTTTGTCTGTATATTCCTAACATTATAATTATTATAATAATATTCAAACAGTACAAAACCATTATCTAAGTTTATCGTTTAAAATTTAAACTTAAACTTTCATGTACAAATATTTAGCTAATCTTTTTTTCTGGAAGCATATATTTTTATAATTTTTATATATTATAACATATATACTTATAATAAATATAAACAAAAAACAACACTGTGTATTGTCATTAAAAACTGCATAACTCAAATTAAATAATTTGATATTACGCTGCCTATATATTATAGAATTATAAATATATTTACATTTATATAATGGTATTTTAAAAAATTTACAACTCATAAACCAAAACAATACGCATCTCCCGAACAGTGACAGTACAGCCGAGGACCAAATTTGATGATTTAGGTAAATTATTTTTAAACTAGTTTAATTAAAATACGTTACAATGCATATAATACTTTAAATTATATATTTTAAAAAGAACAAAATTAAATTAGAGAAATAAGAATCCAAAATTTTACACCCCAGAACCATCACAAATTTTAATAATATACACGAAATTTTTTTTAGAAAAAAATTTAAGAAAATTTAAAATTCAATTTGCTTTCAAATAAAAAATATTCATGGGAATTACAACTAAAATTTTAATTTTGTTTTTGTCGAACACTTACAACTACTAGGCTACAAATCAAGCGCCACAAAATCCAGTATCCGTTAGCATTACCATATTATTATAATATTTTATTAATTAACCCTAATTAGTATTCAAATTTTTGGTTACTTTTGTGACCATTTTATTTCAATTTACTTTTGAAGTGCTAACACTTTTAGAGTTCAATTTATGTCAACACTCCCTTACCGTACAATTTCAAACTAATTTAAATTAAAATGCCAACATAATTTCTTCAGAGCAAAATTTATAAATATTTGTATAGAAAAAATTCGCACAATTAAGTTTTTAATTTATTTTAATTTAAAATACATATATAATAAATATAAAAAAATATTTTATATTGAAAAAATATTTATAAAAAGAAAGTTAAAAAAGTTTTTTAGAACTGCCTAAATCCTACAAAATTGTCAAAAAGCAAAAACTACAATATTAAAAACCAACTACTTGAGAAAATGGCAAAAAAACTGAGAAAAAATTGTTGTTTTATTTATAAAAACTGTAATTTTCAAAAAAAAAAAAATAAAAATTTTAAATTTTGTGTTAATTTTGGCATACATTTTATAATTCTTTATTATTAAATATTTTTATTGTTACAATTTTCATTTCGTTTCATTTTCCCTGTTCCACCGAACACTTCCTTCAAAACTCTTTTAGATATACCTATACTATTTTATTTGTTCTTGTTTTCGATATAATTCTCCTCTTTACACTACCGTTACCGTATGATTGCTTCCTCAAAATACCTAGTTATG